CACGGCCAATGTCATTCAATCGATACCACGATCGACATCAGTATCGGTCGATCGGTCGATATCACAGTCGATGTCACTATCGATCTCACGATCGCTCCCACTCAATCGATGTCGCTATCGATCCCTCCGCTCATCTAGTTCACATCGAGCCCACTTTCGCGTTCATTACAAGTACTATTATCCATGCCACCAAATCGACCCCACTATCGCCATCATGGCTGATGCCCCTATCGATCTCACAGACGGCTGCCTGATCGATCTCATGATCTTTCCCATGGTCGATCTCATGATCGCTCTCACGATCACTCTCACGATCGGTGTCACTACCGATGTCACTCTCATTAAATCGATGGCACTATCGATCTCGCTACAAATCGCACGGTCCATCGTACTACAGATCCAGTGACAAATATCATTAAAGATTTCGCTAACGATCTCACCATCGATCTCAGTATCGATCTCACGAACGATCTCGCCATCGATCTCACAATCCATGTCAATCACTCAAATCTTACGATCGATACCGTGGTTGGGCTCTCACTCGATATCTCAGTCGACGCCACTGTCAATTTCACTACCCATGTCATTCAATCGATATCGCTATTGATATCACGGAAGCACGGAAGCACGCCCGCACATGGGCACCGTCTAAAGCGCTGCGGGTACGGCGCCAGAGCGCCGGAGCGTCAGAAACTGAGTCCTGATCAGAAGTCCTGCTCCATCTTGTTCTCATACTCCTGCGTGGTATCTTCCAATGTATATATTGCCCGTGAAGCTGGAGATGATGCACTTGAGGCTGGAAGCCGAAAGCTGGAAGCGGAAACCTGGATGGTGGTAGCTGGCGGTGATTGCTGTGAGTCTGAAGCTGAAGGCTGGGGGTCGGCCGCACGATGCGAGAAGTCGATAGGCGGAGGTCGAAAGCTAGAGGTGGAAGGTTGGATGTTATCAGCTGTCGGTGGATGGTGGGAGTCGGAAATTGGACGCTGAACGTCGGTCAGGTGAAGCGGAAGTCGACAAGTGGAGGTCGAAAGCTGACAGTGGAAAATTTGGGAAACGGCAGCTGTGGGTGGATGGTGGGAGTCGGACGTTGGAACTTGGATGCTACTCACGTGAATCGGAAGTCGATAGGTGGAGGTCGAAAGTGGAGATGGAGTACTGGGACTCAACAGCGGTTGATGCATGGTGGGAATCGGAAGTTGGAAACCGGAGGTCGGTCAGGTGAGGTGGAAAGTTGGAAGGTGAAGGTCGAAAGATGTAAATGGGACCGTGGATGTCATCAGCTGTTGGTGGAAGATGGAAGTCGGAAATTGGAAGTTGGACGCTGGTCAGGTGGGGTGGGGAGAAGACAGGTGGAGGTCGAAAGCTGGAGGTGGAAAAACAAAAGTCGAGAGCTGCAGGTGGGTGGCGGGAGTCGGAAGTGGCAGCTGAAGGACACTCAGGCAAGGTGGGACATCGACAGGTGGAGGTTGGTTATGTGAGGTGGATTGTCGAAAAGTGGAGGTCGAAAGCTGAAAAGCTGGAGGTGGGAGATTGTCAAGAACACGGTCAAACGCACGATCGGTATCACTATCATTATCGATCTCACACGGCGCATCTCACTCAATCGATATCATTATCGATATCGCTATCGATCGCACGATCGATGTCACTATCGATCCTGTAGTCCTTCTCGCTATCGATCTCACAGGTCGTACGCAATTAATAATTGACCTCGCTGCAAATCTCACTGACGATCTCACTTTCGATCTCACCCAATGGATCCCACTACGGGTATTACTAGCGATCGTCACCATCGCTAGCATACCACAACATAGCATACAACATGGCACGGGACACCCCCGCAGAACGGGACACCACGGGCGAGAGAGAGAAAGGGAAAGAGAGAGAGAGAGAGAAAGAGAAAAGCGAAAGGGAGAGAGAGAGAGAGAGAGAGACGGAGAGGAACATACAAGAACTGGACTGGACTGCAGTGCACACTCGAACTAGACGAGGGCGGGAGGAAGGCCGATCGATGCACCTGCGAGAAGTTCAGACATCCACTGGTTGGGGCTTTCTCAGGTGCAGCTGTTTTTCGACGCGAGGGGCAGTGGGGTCTCGACTCGACTCGACTCGCTCTGTGGCACCATGTCTTGTCTGCAAGTGAAAGCGTGGAATATTGGCGCAGAGAAGATGCCCGTAGCGGCTCTGGGGTCTGCCGGAAGGGAGGAGACGAGCGCAGAGAGACGAGCCGGCCGCCGGCCGCGTGCTCGAGGACGCGCCGTTGGCGAGGGAACGCCACCACATGCGTCCGCTGGCCTCCGCTCGCTGGGGGAGGTGCGTGCACGGGCAAATGTCTACCAGCCTCGAACGTATCCCTATCCCTAAGATTGACGCGCCAAAAGGCGATGACAATATTAGGGATTCGCCTTCAAAAAATAAGGAAATCCCTAAGATTGGCATCGTGATGAGGAGGTGCCCAGCATAGGGATAGGGATATGTTCCAGGCTGGTAAAATGTCTGAGGATCTACAGTGGGGATCTGTGTCCGAAGATAGAGGTCCGAGGATCGAGGATCTGCAGCCGGCACGTGCGCCCAAGAGATCATGCTATAAGAAAGCCAGGGGCACGTTCTTCGTCGACCTTTCAGGGTCCCAAGGAGCCCGGTGGGTCCCCGGAGCCACTGGGCTGCCACTGGGCTGGAGGAGGAGGAGGAGGAGGAGGAGGAGGAGGAAGAGGGGGAGGAGGAGGAGGAGGAGGAGGGGGAGGAGGAGGAGGAGGAGGGGGAGGAGGAGGAGGAGGAGGAGGAGGAGGAGGAGGAGGAGGAGGACCCAAGAAAGCTCCTGTGGGTCCCTGGAGCCGCTGGGGGATGCGACACTTCCGTGGGGGCTCCTGCGGGCCGACCGGTTTCTCATTTGACGTGCCTGCCGTCTGTCTCGGAAGCTTCAAGATGCTGGGAGGGCTTCTGGGGCGCCCTCGTGCCCAAGGGCTGATTTACCCTCGAGGCTCCCGGCGAACGTGGCGCCAGTCAAACGAATCTCAAGAGGGACGAGGAGGACGAAGTCCACGCCTATCCCCGCCTTTAGTGCGTCTCCACGCCCGTCCGTGCTCCTCCTCTTCCGTCGCCATCGCTCCGGAATTCCTGATCCTTCTCCTCCCCTTCCTCCTCCCTTCCTGCTCCTCCGCGTTCCCCTCCTCCCCCTCTTCTTCTTCCTTCTTTTGATCCTCCTTCCTTGCTCATCCTCGGTTATGAAATCCCCTCTCGCTACCCCTCGTCGATACCTCACTCCGCTCGCCACTGGATGCCCGGGCCTTTAGCCCTCGAATTTCGTGCAGGCTGGAAGAATGAATAAAATTACTCGCGCCACGCTTAGATGCCTTGTGGCACTGCGACTGTCGGAACATGTATTGGACGCCTCGTCCGCCACGTGCGGCGCTCTGGCCTGCGTCGCCGATCCCGCGGCGGGGTCCTGCCCCTGGAGCGCGAAGGTGCTCCCCCGATCGGGGCGGACACAATGAGGGCCAGGCAGTGGGGGTTAGTGATGACGTCAGACTACTTACCAGACCACCCCAACCCAACCCGAAGACCCGAATTTCGGGTTGGGGGGGCAAGGGTTCCACATGTGTTTTTGTCGATGTTTCCCGACCCCCGCCCACTGGAAATCGAGGGTAAATCTGAGCCTTCGGGTTGGGTTGGGGTGGTTTGGTGGGTGGTGAACGTCGGCAGCTCAACGTGGCGATGACGTCGGAGTTGGCTTCTGACACAGCGCGGGACGCTCCACAGAGGAGCAGCACATGGCACAAAGACGAAGTGGTCAAGGTTCGCGCGGGTCTCTTGGATCGGCACTGGGCCTCCCTCCACAGCGCGCTCCGCGCGCCAGGGAGGAGGGCCACTTGCCGTCGCTCGGACGTCCAGTCTCTGTCCATTGTTTGGTTTCGTGCGTGTTTTCCTCCAGGTGGACCAAGATGGTCCAGAGGTTCTAGCGCAGGCCTCGCCGAGAAACGTGCGCTCTTCCGAACGATGCCAAGCCCAGCGCCGCTCCATAAAATTCGCGTGGACCTCCGAACGTCTTTATGGTTGTGCAACGCTTTCCTCCTCGACGTCAGAGATTTCTATATCGCTGAGCCTTCGACATCGGCCGATCGCACGGCACCAGCGGCAAGCAGCGGCAACCAACCTTTCGAACGCCCGACCGCCGGCAGCGAGCACGTGCGGCGGGTGCATGTCGCGGCGACTTCGGCGTCGGCTTCCGACGTCGATGGATCGCTCAACCCTCAACGCATTACTCATACAATATTTTCCTTCTCGACGTGGGCGACCTCGATAGCGCAGACCTGTCAATGTCGACCGAGCGCACGGCACCTGCGGCACCCAACCTTTCGAACGCCCCACCGCCCGCACGCCACCGCCCCAGGCGTGGATCGCTCGACCTTCGGGCCGACGGGCGGCGGGCCGACCTGACGGGCGCGAGGGCCCACGGGCGAAAGAGAGAGGCGACGCGCGAAGGCATCGCAACGAGTGTGGAAACGAGGCCAGCAACGGCAGGCTCGTGTCGTGGCGACTGCGGCGTTGATGTCTGACTTCGCGTGGATCCCTCGACCTTTCCACGATCGGCGGCTTCTGGCTCGCCAGATCGTCCCGTACTTGCCGGTGTTGGGCCACTGGCGGCCTTCGCTCTCACGGGCCCGGGGTGGGGTCGCTGCCGCGTGGACACGGCAGGAACCTGCCGCGTCGAGGAGAGTGCCCCGAGGCGCAGCCGAGACCCGCTGCACGAGAGATCCCGCACCCCCACGCTCCCTCCGCCCTGACGCGCCGCCCAGGTCCGGCGGCGCAGACCGAGGCTGGTCTTGGGAGGAGCGCGAGATCTGGACGGGCGTTACCGGACCTCCCCTCAGGAGGAGGAGGAGGAGCAGGAGGAGGAGGAGGAGGAAGAGGAGGAGGAGGAGGAGGGCATGAGGAGGAGGAGGAGGAGGAGGAGGAGGAGGAGGGTTACTGTGCCGATGAGGCCTCACGAGGCGAACCGCTCAGATGTCGTGGCGCTCCCGCGCCGCCTCCCTGGCCTTCGCCTTGACGAACAGCACGTGCATGGTCACACTGACCGCAAAGGCCCCCAAGACTATCCAGCCAACGGGCTTCACCAGATTGAACGGATCGCCACCCAGGCCATAGTCGTCGATGTCATCGGAGATCTTGCTGCTCAGCTCGAAGTTCTCGAAGGCGAGGCCGTCGCCTAATAGCACGGCGTTGGAGGCGACGCTTAGGCACGCGGCGAAAAAAATGACCCACCCAGCGCCGGGCTGGCAACCCCCCTTGAGAAGCCTTGTATCCCGCAACGTCTTCTCCCAAATTGCCAGGTCTTGCTTCTCCATCTCCCGCAACTCCTGCACAGCCCTGTACGTCTCGAGCTCGTCCGGGTCTTCTGGCTCTTTCAGCAGGTTCGGGTCCTGGGTGTAAGCCAGCTGCCCCACATAAATTGCTCCTAGGGCGCACATGCCCTGCCCTGCGGCCGCGATCAGGGACCACACGTTGCGCCACATGCTGTCGTCCGTTTGCTCGTTGGGTTTCGCCTTGATCATATACGCGCCACTCATGATGCATGGCAGTTGGACGACGGCAACTGGGATCGTATAGAGCAACATATCCAAAATATCAATCTTAAGGATACCGCATACTACACTCACAGGCCAATCTGGACCTCCGACGAGAACGATAATCTTGCCGATGGGGCGGCAAGGATCTGACCGTCCAGTCAGCACGCTGGCAGCAGCCCGCATAGGCTTCTGGTCGACATTGAATTCCTTCTGGATGTGAATGTCTTGGCCAAGGAAGTATCCGATGAAATACTGGCCGACGCAAGCGACGAGCTTCAGGATCAACGCCAAGAAAACAGCAATGGCAACCCCTCTCACGAACACTGCGAAATCATGTTGCTTCTCCGGCTCCTCGCGATCGACCACCGCCTTGGGTATCAATATGCCGATGAACAAATAAACTGCCATTCCGGGCACGACTGGCAACATGAACATGGCGAACCCGACTACACAGCTCATCACCATAATGAAGACGAGTTCCATTGGGGCGAGGACTTCTATCATGTAAGAGAGGAACACGAATGTTGCCTTGCTGCCAACTTGGATGCTAAAATATACCTCGCTGAGCAAACACACTTTGATGAGGACGCTGCAGACATTCCAGCCCTTGAAATTTATGGGAGGCATCGCATAATGAGTAACCGACGGACACGAAGAGGCTGAAGAACCGTCCGAGAACAATGGTCGAAGAGGATCTCCTGCTGCGTCCCCCTGGCGCGAGGCAGTGCTGGAAACATCGCTTGGACTCGACTGCTCGTTGCTAGAACCCTCCAACATGCTCATGAAAAGGTTGCTTACTCGGTCGAATGTGTGACTGCCGCGCCTCTTATCCTGCATACACCTGTGAGCGACACTCAACCGAGTCTTCTCTAACATGTAGAAAAGTGGGACCACGCCACTCATGAACATCAGTGCCTGGACCCACTCGTTGTCCAGAAGGCCCTTGAGATCGTCGGCCCCAGATTGTAGCCACTGGAACTGCTGACTCTTCTCTGCATCGGTGGTGGTAAGATCCTGCGCGATGCTTGAATCCAGTTTCACCAGGTGGGGTGGACCAATGTTGCATTCTCCGCCTGTCATCGTGCAGACAGTGGAGCAGTCATATACACGTGCTGCCTTCTCTTAAGCATCAGTGCCTCCGGCTCACAGCTATGCTGCTGCTGCCGCCAGGATTGTGATTTCTCAGGGGCCCTGAACTCCGCCATTCTGGGCCGGCCGGGCTGGGGCATTCCTCCTCCTCCTCCTCCTCCTCCACCTCCTCCTCCTCCTCCTCCTCCTCCTCCTCCTCGTGCTCCTCCTCCTCCTCCTCCTCGAGGGGGTCCGGGGAGGACCCCGCCGCCCCGCGGAGGATTCCCCCCGTGAGTTCGGGGGTGTCTCCTGCCGGTCCTCTGGACGCTGTGCCCGCCAAGCACGACCTCCCGAACCCTCCGAGGTGTCCAAGGGGGCTCCGATTCGTCGAAAGATCGCTCTAAGACGCCCAACATGGCCTCGGGACGGCCCAAAGGATGGACATGTTGGCGTTTCCGCTTTTTCGGGTTCCCGAAGCTCCGAAACGCACCAAGAAGCCGCCAATATCGCCCCAGAAACGGCACCAGAGGCCCCCAAGAGGGCGCCGAGAAGGCCCCCAAGACGGCCTACGAGGCCTCTCAGACGGCTCACGAGGGCCCCAAGAACGCCCCAGAAAGGATCCCAGGAGAGGAACACGAACCGACATGTCGAGCTCTCCAGCCCAAGGTGCCATGAGGAGGCTCAAGAGGCTCCCAAGAGGCCCCAAAGGGGCCCCAAGAGGCCCTCAATGGGGCCTCATGAGGCTCCCAAGAAGCCCCCAAGAGGCGTCAAACTGCCCCACAGAGGCCATCGAGAGCTCGCCGAAGAGACCCCAAGAAGCATCCATGAGGATTCTAACCTACAACCCAGGCACGGTGGCAGGATGGGCCGAAGGCCACTAGATGGAGAAGGAGGGAGAGGAGGGGGGTATGAAGGGAGATGACGGAGGGAAGGCGAGGAGGAGGAGGAGGAGGCGGATGAGGAGGGAGAACAAGAGAAAGAGAAGGGGGAGGATGATGCGGTATGGGGCAGACCTCAAAGATAAGGTCCCCCGTGAAGCTCTGGAGTGAAGGGCGTTAGAGGGGATTGGAGGGAGCCCCTGGGAAGCTCCAGGAGCAAATGGAAGAAAGACTCGCAGACGAAAGGAAGCGGTGGCTATATATCAACCTGTTATCCAACACCTTGGGTCTGGGAGGCCGGAAAGACCACGCCCTCGGCCCGGCCCTGGCCTTTGAGATCAGACGTCGGTGGAAGCATCTCGTGGACCCCGGGCAGCAAGTTCTAGCGCTCCCGGTGTGCACGCCGTACACTGCCGGCCACAGCGCGCCGACCGGATGACGAGCTCCAGAAACCAAAAACCCTGACGCCCCCCCCCCACACACAACAAATGCGACCCCTCGGAGGCGCATCCTCTGCCTCCGCCGGCTTCCGCCGGCAGACCCACCCCTGGTTCACTCGCGCCGCCTCTCGCCGAGGAGCAGACGCCAACTCCCTCTGCAGCCGGGCCGCGGAAAGAAGGAATGCGAAATCGAGAACGAAGCCCCTTTTTGGCCCTGAAAGCGCCTCCGTGCCCGAGGGGGGCAGGAGGAGCAGCAACGGCGGAACCGGAGGAACCTCGCTCCTCTCTCGGCGCCGAAGAGTTCCTCAGCCCTGCGTCTTGACTGCATCCTCACATGGGACCCACTCTGCAGCGCCCCACTCGGGCGTTGGCAGAACCGGGTTTAGTGGGACCTGGTTTAATGATGTGGGACGCCCTCCCCGCGCCCGTTCTACCAGCCGGAACTGCCGTCACCCGAAAAAACACCAGCTACGGCAAACCTGGTCTAGTGATTCTGGCCAATTCAGGGGCGGGGCCCTACCACTAACCGGGTCCCCTTGACTGGAGTCCTCTTCTCCTCCTCCTCCTCCTCCTCCTCCTCCTCCTCCTCCTCCTCCTCCTCCTCCTCCTCCTCCTCCTCCTCGCCCAGGGTGATCCAAGGGCTCCCCACTTCGCGCTTCGCGCTGCGCGAGGCGCGAAGGGCGAATAACTTCGCGCTCTCGCGCCGCCTCCCGGGGGAGAAGTGGAAGGCGAGGAGGAATCGGAGCCGAACCGCGAAGCGCGAAAAACTTCGCGCCCTCGAGGGCGCCCTTGTGATCGGGGGCGCGCAAGCGTGGATTAGCGATCCATGGATGTGACGCGCGGCCGCCAACTCCATGGGTCGGGGGATGCGCCCTCCCCAAACTGCGGCCGGTGCCGCCTCGCTCGGCGGCGGAGATCCGCGGCTTCCCATGGAAGCGGGACCCGTCGCTAATCCACGCCCCCTTGATCTGCGATCGCCTGAGGTGGGGGGGGGGTTCGAACGGGGGGGGGCCCCTTCCTCCCTGAGTAGCAAGGGCGGCGTCGAACCGGGCCTCCCTTCCCCCCCCCTTTGCGCGTCGCCGTCGTCGCCGTCGCCGTCCCCTGAGGTCCGACGTTGCGAAAAAATGCAGCATCGCGAAGCATCACGACCCGAGCCCTGCGCGGGCACTGGACACAGAGCACGGGCCAGAGAGGGCAGGCCGCGCGGCGGGCGGGGCACGGACCGCGGGGCCAGGCAGGGCGCCGGCACGGGGGGCCAACCGTGCGAGCGGCGGGCTGCGATGGAGCAGGCCATCTCCGTGGAGCGCGAGTGAGGCTCTCTGCCCCAAGTGCAAGCACTGCTTGGGCAATGCAGGCCTGGGCGTGGACGCACACCCAGTCGCCCAGTTGCAGGTGTGCGCGCACATGTGCACGCAGATGCGGGGTGCCTGCTCGTGCGAGTGCAGGATGCAGTCGTGAATGCAGTCATGTTCAGGTTCACGTGGATGCAGTCATGTTCATGTTCATGCATGCGGATGAGAACGCGCATGCGCACGCAGATTTGTACTGTGTACATGCAGGTGTGGACACGGACGTGGACATGGATGTTGTCGTGGGAAGCCGTGCTTGCGCTACCTGGTGAAAGTGGCTTCTAACCCTTCGGGGTGTGAGCGCGATTACCCTTTCTCGGGCTGCCAACTGTGTCCATGTTGGCGTGCAAGACCTCGTAGATCCTGGAGGCGTTCCACGCTGCCCACGCCAAGGACAACGCAAAGACAGCGAAACCAACGGAAAACATTCCGTTGAGGACATTGACGTTTGCACCCGAAACGGCCGCGAAGAGACCAACGAAAAAAACCAGGCAGAACGAGAGCGTCATCAACATCACCAACACCTTTTTGATCCTGTACGGGTTTGGAGCCCCCTCGACATTCTGGGGGACAGACTTGCTTTGAGAGACAGAGTGGCGAAAATAGCACTCGCAACACCAAGCCACCAGCGTGACAAGACACGCTGCGAAGTAGATGAATTGAGTCAGGAACAATGTAAAAAATACAGTCTCGCTCAACTGGCAAACAGTCTTTACCTCACTGAATGCCTCGGGCTTCTCAATCACGATCTCGCTCTCCGATGGTTGTTTGCAGTCCTTGAGGGTCAAATCTCTCCCGCGCAACTTTTTAATATTCTTCGCTAACTGTTGTAACACCTTGTCGTATAAGCAGTGGCGCTCGTCAACATTGCCACAACTCTTGACGATGTTCACATTCCGGTACGATTCCCAACTCAAGTAATCAGGGTGGCGGTGGAGGTGGACCATAGACAATCCCGCCAGAATGACACTCGTTACAAAGAGACACGCGAAACACCATGTCATGAAATCCTGCCCCCTCACCACACTTTGAAATTTCCCTCGAACTCTGAGGCTTTGCCGCCAAGAGTTCATCACCCAAAGCAGTACTAAAGTCAAGCACGCGATGCTCATCCGCGACCAGAAAGGCCACTTCAGCGCGTGCATGATGCACCCTACTACGAAAAATGTCCAAGCTATGAATCCCGTGACGAACTGCGACATGGACATCCTGGTGATTCTCCTTGAACGCTCGTGAGCATCCTCGTGGCCATCCTGCTCGACTTCGCTGTCACCATCGGATTCGCTGGCCGAGTAAGAGTCGGACCAGGTAGCCCATCCCAGGACGTACAGGACAGCAGTAAGGAAGAATGCTGCAGCGACCAAAAGTAGCCCAACGTTCGGGATGCTGACATCAGCCAAAGCGTCGATCAATTTTGTACCGTACGAGCCGGCGCCGGGAACGATGGCCACGTCGCTGAAGAACGCCAGGAGAAAGAAATTCGGTAGCGCCACGGCGAGAACCACTATAGGTCGCCACGAATAAACGAAGATCCGCCAATCCTTCCGGACCACCACGCGCGCAAGACAGCCCTGCAGGGCCCAAGAGGGGGTGCCCAGACGGCCCACGATCAGAGGGCCCCGAGTGGGGCCAAGGACGACCGAGGGGTCCTTGTAATGAAGAATTCGGTGCGTCCTGCCGAGGATCACTCTCGCTCAAACCGATCCCTCGCCCCAGAATCCAGACCCCTCCCAGGAGCCACACAGGAGGAGGAGGAGGAGGAGGAGGAGGAGGAGGAGGAGGAGCAGGAGGAGGAGGAGGAGGAGCAGGAGGAGGAGGAGGAGGAGGAGGAGGAGGACGAGGAGGCGGAGGAGGAGGAGGAGGAGGAAGAGGGGGTCGGAGGACGATGCCTTCATGGACCACGCATCTTGACAAGCTCTTCGAGCCGCGCCCAGCCGTGGCCACGAGCCTCCCCCCCTTCCAAGCCCCCCGGGCGGCCACATGCTCAATCTTGCGGCTTCGGCGCCGACGACGACGACGACGACGACGACGACGACGACGACGACGACGACGACGACGACGACGACGGCCCTCAACCCACGCCTTGGGCGCGCTCTGGCCAGCATCTCGAGGGGAACCCAGCCGTGGCAACGAGCATGACCCAAGAGGCCCGAACAGGCCCCCCCAGGACGGAGACGTCGAGCCCCCCCCCCCAGACTTCCGACGCGTCGTGGCCTCCTCACAACGTGGAGCCCCGCGGGCCCGGACCTCTTTCCCGGGACCGGCCTCCCTTCATCCCGAATCTTACCAGCCTGGAACGTATCCCTATCCCTATGCTGGGCACCTCCTCATCACGATGCCAATCTTAGGGATTCCCTTATTTTTTGAGGGCGAACCCCTGAGATTGTCATCGCCTTTTGGCGTGTCAATCTTGGGGATAGGGATAAGTTCGAGGCTGGTAACAATCGCCTCCTCACGGCCCCGGGGCCCGGCGAAGGCCCCCTGCGACCGAACGTGGCCCCCGAAAACCTTCCGCCGTGCCTTTGTTCACGACGCGAGGGCACCCGCGCTCGACGCGGCAACAGCCTCCCGGATCGCCTCCTCGAGCATGGCGCGCGGCAGCGGCTCGGGCGCCCCCGCCGTTCGGGCAAACGCGCCTGAGCCAAAAACGGCGATGGACCAGGAGGAGGAGGAGGTGGAAGCCTCCCGGCTCAGGAAACGATGGACGCCCTCAAGTCAGGGCCTTGATCTGGGAGGGGATGGGGGGTGGGTCGAGGATATGGCGAATTCCGGAAACCCTGAACCCAAAACTGTTGTCATCTCTTGGGGGCGCAATTTTTGCTGCCGCGACCTTTCGCCGCCCTTCCGCCGGCTTCCGCCTGCGGAGGCGGCCTTGTTTTACTTCCGCCGCCCTTCCGCGCCGCCTTCCGCCGAGGAAGAGACGGTAACTCCTTCGATCCTCGAAAGCAAGGCCCTTTCTGGAACTCCTCATATGATGGCGGACGTGGAAGAGGACCGGGACACAGGCCAGCCGTCACAGACTGGGTCAGCCTCTAGCCTGCACACCAGATGTGGTACTTTTGACTTTGGGAGGGGTGGGTCGAGGGTATGATGGGTCGGGTTGGGGGGGATGGGGACTTCCTTGCCGACGCCTGCACTTCTAGGACTCTTTGCCCTCGCGGGCTCTCCACTTTGGAGGAGGAGGACGAGGAGGCTCGCGGAGGACGAGGAGGAGGAGGAGGAGGAGGAGGAGGAGGAGGAGGCCCGAGGAGGACGAAGAGCAGGAGGAGGAGGAGGAAGAGGAAGAGGAGGAAGAGGAGGAAAAGGCTCGAGGAGGACGAGGATGAGGCTCGCGGAGGAGGAGGAGGAGGAGGAGGAGGAGGACAAAGAGGAGAAGGAGGAGGAAGAGGAGGAGGGGGACAGGGAGGGAGAGGAAAAGAAGGAGGAGGAGAAGGAGGAGGAGGAGGAGGAGGAGGAGGAGGAGGAGGGAGGAGGCGGAGGCGGAGGAGGCGGAAAAAGAGGAAATGGAAGAGGAAGAGGAAGATTAATCATAAGAATGATATGATTAATAATCGTAAAAATAACGGCATTAATAATCATAGCATAACTATCAAAATAAAAGTACTGCCAATACTACTATAATGATGATAATAATAACAATAGATCATACTAGTAATAATAATATTAATAACAATAATTATAGGAATGGTGATAATAATCGTAAAAATGCGAATAGCAATACTAGGAAGACTAATAATGCTACTCCTAATAATTTGACTACCAATTCTAAGCAGCATACGAACTTTAAGAATAATGATAGATTGGGATAAGCAGAATACGAATAATGATAAGACGACGAATGGAAATACAAATACTAAGAATATGCACAATAATAATAATACGACAAAGAAGAAAAAAATAATCATAATAACCGTCATAAGAACCGCACGCATCATAATAATATTAATACGAACAAAGAGACGCTGTAGAATAATAAGAATATGAGTACGATGATTGATGACAACATCAATAAGAATACTACTAGCAAGAAGAAGAATACACATTATAATGCTCAGAAAAAGATTAAAGCATGATCCTATTCATAATGCAGATAATACTAATACGGATATCAAAAAAAGAATAATAAGAAGAGGAGGAAGCGGAAGAAGAGGAGGAGGAAGAGACGAGAGGAGAAGAGAAGATAAGATACGATCAGACATTATAAGAGAAGGGAAGAGAAGACACTATACTCGAAGAGCAGAGAAGATAATATAATCTAAAAACATACGGTATAAGATAATAGAAGGGCCTATAATAGAAGCTGCGATAACATAATATAATATACTATAAGAAAAGGAAGAGAAGATAAGGAGTAGGAGGAGGCAGGATGAGCAGGAGGAGGAGGGCAAGCAAAAGTGCCAGAGGTCTCTTGGATGCCTTTCGGGGCCTCTTTTGGGATATCTCTTGGGCGCTTCTGGGACGTCTTGGGGGTCCCTCGGCGGTCCTAGGGGGCTCTTAGGCGTCTTGTGTGCCTCGGGGGGGCCTCTCCTCTTGGGGGCCTCCTGGGTACCTCTTGGGGCCATCTTGGAGCCGTCTTGTTGCCATCTTAGGGCCTCTTGGGGGATCCTGGGCGCCTCTTGGGACCATCTCGGAGGAGATTCATCAAAGAAGAAGGGGTCCTTAATTAGCTAACCCCGCAAGGCCAAAATGGGGCCAACACCCTACTAAAACCCATGATTTTGCTTCCTCGCCGAGGCCGTCTTGGACGTTCCAGCGACACGCGAAACGCCCTGTCCAGGTCCAGAGGAGGGGGTAAGGAGGAGAGACCAAGCCACCCACCCGCCCGCAAGCCGTGTAGCTCACTCCCACGCGCTTTCCCAACACATGAGTCACACCCGAGCCTGAGCATGTTCAGCGGTCGTCGTTGCATGGACAGCTACTGGGGACCAACGCCGACTCCAGGTGCGCGACGCTCGGGCGAGGTGCGCCACGCCTGCCAGGGGCGCCACGCGCGCCAGTCACCCCTGGGGCCCCAGCGTGCCAAGCACTCCTGTTGCGCCAGATGCGCCACGTGTTCCCAGTGCGCCGGGTGTGCCGCGCACCCCAGCCGCGCCCGGTGCCCCATGTTCGGGGCACGGGCAGAGTGCGTCAGGTGTGCCTGCGCACGTGACAGCGCACATCGGGGAACATGTCGGCCCCTGCCATCTACATCGGAAACCACTGCCCATCATTGTGTCTGGTGGGCCTGCGCACAGCAGGCCACGCGTCACCACCCCCGCCGCCCCTGTCAAAAACCATTGGGCAGTGATCGCGAGAGGGCCACCCACGAACCAGATGTAGCCGCGAGGTGCATGTTGTATTCGTTCTTCTGTCAGGGGTGGTAGCCCTGCGCACGGCAGGGGATACGCTGGCACACCCGCTGTCCCTGTCAAAACCGATACAAAGTGCTCGCGGGTTTCAGAAACATGATTCAAGACTTTGCCCCGGAGTGTACTTTGTTATTGGTTTTGACAGGAAAGGGCTTGGGGGGGGCATCGAGTTGTCCGCGCATGTTCCAAATGTGGAGGCAGAGTGCGGTTCGTGTTGTTTTTGGACAGGGATGGTGGGGGACGGGGCGTCATGGTGTACTTATGGTTCCTGGTAGGGCGCCGGTCGCCTGGGGGAGGGGGCGTATATCAGTACGGGACAGCGATACACTCCTCCCCGAGGGAAAAAGGGA